ATATAAAAAAATTATAAAAATTAGTTAAAATTTGAATAATTTTTATTAGAAATAATTATTAATTTTATATTGATATATTAATCTTTTTACACTAGCACATATTTTGTATTATATTTATTTATATAATACTAATTATTATAAATATTTCTATTATTTAATTCATTAATAGATTTATTATTATTATTTTATTTAATTCTTTATTAAAATATTATTATCAAGCCAAGAGTAAAAGTTACTTTAACTAATATAATTCTAAAAATAATATTATCTAGTAAAGATATTTAGTTTAATATATTATAAATTAATAATGAAATTATTAATAGTATAATATCTATAAATTTTAATAAGAAAGAAATTTATTTCTATATAATATTATAACTAATAATATATTATTATAATATTTAATAAATAGCTAGTAAAACTAATAGCTTATTTTAAAATAATTTATATTAAATTTAAAAAAGTTATTATTAATTAAACTTGAAAGAATAATTAATAATTATTTTAAAAAATAATTAATAGTTACTTTAAAGAATTACTGAGTTTAATGAAAACTTAGTATTTAACTTTAAATTTTGTAATGTAAAATAATTATTGAAGAGAATTTTATTATAATATAATTTTTATTAAGAATATTATTTATTAATTAATTAATCAATTTATTTTATAATTTTATTGAATAGTTATTTAGTTATAATTTATTAAATATTAATTTAAAAAAATATTATTTATAGATATTTATAAAAGATTTTATAATTATGAAGATTATAGCAAAATTATTATAACAAAGTTAGTAAAAATTATAAAAAATAGATTTAAAATTATTAAAGTATAACTAAAAAAATATTTAATAATAAAATTTATTTCAGTTTTAATAATTATATCTGAATAATTAATTATATTTGAATTATATTTTTAATTTATTTTATTTTATTAATATAATTTCTTTGATTTTTAACTTATTTTTATATAATAAGAAACTATATATATTTATATATTGCAAAAATAATATAAAAATGATATTAAATAGTATTATAATATAAAGATAATACAAAATTAGATATAATAAGAGATTATTAAAATTTAAAACTCAAAAAATAATTTATAAAATTATAAATCTAGCATAATCTATGAAATTATATATAATTTGTAAAATTAAAAAAATTAAGAAATTAAATACTATTTTATAATAATATACTTATAATGTACTTCTATTAAAAAGCTAAGCTAGTAATATATTAAACAATTTATTAAATACTAGTTGATGATACTTTTGCTAGTGAGTTTGCAAATAAAGTAAAAATTAATAAATTATTAGATTATTTCTTACAAACTAATTTTTAATATTTTTAAATATCAATATAAATTTAAAGTAATAATAAGATTTCTATTAAATAATTAAAGTGAATTAATATGAATTAATATTATTCTTAAATAATAATATAATAATTTTCAATTTTTCTTTTTTGTATAAAAATCTAAATTATTAGTATTTATTTAATATATATAATCAATTATTAAATAAGCTTCAAGAAATATCAATAATAATTAATATGATGATCAAAAATTAATCTAATATCGATATGTAAATTTTCGACTCTAAATGAATATAAATATCCTTTTAATAAACATATTTTTATTTAGACAAAGTGCTTTGAGTTCTTTATCAAAACTGGTTTGAGTATTAGTCACTCTTAATAGAAAATTTTGAGAAACCCGGTTTAACGAATTTAATCTACTATAAACATTCCTACTAACTTCGATTAAACAGAATTTAATTTTAATTAACATATATGTAATGCTAAATTAAAATTTTGTATAAAAATAATAATGTAATTTTGCATAATGAAATTCAGCCAATCAAAAATAATTCACGTGGTATTTTAGGCGCTTGTAAATTGGCTATTACTATTAAGATTGATGTTAAAAAGTCGAACCTAGCCACAAATAGAACATAAATACGTTAACGTCATAGAACATTATTTGATAACATATTTTTTATAGTTAGATAGTATTCATTGTCTTATCCAAAACTTATACTATTTTGGTTGAATAATTACCTGTGGATCGTGTAGAACTGGATATACTGTAATATCTAGAGGATATTGTATGGAAAATTCTACATGTATTTTAAAATCAAAATCAAGTTGGACAAATACTAAAGGAACGTTGATAGATTATGAGCCGAAGAAGAGGGAAATATAATATCATAATATTTTTGTTATGCGTTATTGGGACTATAGTATTGATCGTTAACATTTAATATATATATATGTATGTATCGATTTTTGAAAAAGACCCAGTTATTATTCAAGTTTAAATTAAATAGTGAAAAATATCTAAGTTTAACTCGCGTAGGGTAATATATTTAAAATAGAATTCCTCTACAGTTTTAAAATACTGCCTACACCATATACATGTAGTAAACAAAGCGATAGCGAAAAAAAGCCAGATCATGGGATTCCAATATGTTTCCGATATCATCCTTGACCAATCAAATCACAAGATCGGAAAAAATGCCGATTAGCTTGTAATAACGATAACAAAAATGTTCTTCGCAAAATTTTACATACACGGTCAAATTTCTCTGAATGTTCATATGCAACAAAGATGGAACTTTAGGAGTTTGACTGTTCAGTGTTTGATTATGTAATCTTAACCCCCAATTGAAACGCTAAGAGAAGAAAGAGGATACTGGAATTTTTATCAGGTCGAAGACAGAGCGGAATCATATGATCTGACTTTTTTTCGCTATCCCTTTGTTACTAGAATTAGATGCTTCTCCGATACATGTAGAAAATAGGTTTGAGATGCATCCCCCTCAACACCAAATAGAGCAAAAATGTAACCCTAGAATTGGAGATTACGTATTGGTATAACATGTACATGTATTATCAATCGATTTGCATCAATAAAATAGATACTAAAATCAAGGGGGGTAAAGATGAGGAATATTATAAATTTTTTCCGTATTTTCATTCTTCTCTTGCGAAAAACAATACATGTAAATTCCTTCTTTCGAGTTTTGACTCTATAATACACATGTTAGTACAAGTGATAAATGGTTAATCGATTCAGATTTAGATATTCCTTACACATCATCAAAACATACCGGTTCTTTTCACTGATAATAATTGATAATAGATGCAATTCGTTACTAAAAAGACTTTCTAAGGCCACAAATAAAAAAAATCACATAATACGATGGGCAAATAAACTAAAAAGTTTGAAGACAATCCGCCAATTAGTTTTGGTCATATGTAAATGCAGTACGTACTTACTAATGTCTTTTCGTAGAGATACGTTTGCAAGTGCATCGTGTCTTATGATCAAGTTACAGATAAAACCTCCCATAAATGTACTCTCTATAAGTGACAAAATGCATTCTCTGGCTCGGTCCCAAGTTAATAGATCCTAGTATTTGATAGAAGGGCTGATTTAATATTTCGATTTTGACTAATTTTGGTTATTTTTGGGTGGAGTTAAAACAGTCAAATCCGACCACCAAACAATGCACACTCTATGAATATACGCTTGTATCCAGTGTTTAAACTATTATGAAAAATCTTTGTGGCAATAAATAAACTGTGGCGTTAGCTTATTTTGGTCCCTGAACGGAGTTACAAAGCGTAATAAGGATTAGGAAATTTAATAAATACAATACTGATACGTTTTTAATGATAAATCATGAAAATTGTTTTATGATTGATGACGTGTAGAACTATACTTACTATTGATACTAGTAATTTGGATCGGATCATTTTCGTATCCGCAACACAAACATTTCATCGACCGAAAAAACAATAAATGGCAAAAAGTGCATTATTATGGTAAAGATAAGCTACACAACATGTTTATATAAAAAAAATGGCATGATACACAATTGAAAACGCCCCAGTAAATTGATCGGTGACCTACACCGAATGCAAAAAAAAAAGGAACAATTAAGTTCCCTGAAAACAACAATAATAATCTGCACTCATAACTCGTTTGGACAGTGAAATAAATGATCAGCTACCCGCATCCACGGCTTTTACGAGAGATTTTTGATTGATAATTCATTGAGATGTGTTAAAGGCGATCTTCTACTTATCTATGCCACTAACATCATCAACGCACTCATTACATTTATGTACATATTGCAAAACTCAATAGAAAGTGGCAATTTGAGGTGTTGATCATCTGAAAATAATTATAAATACTCGGTTCTTTTGACATAAATCTCCATTTCTCTTTTTAAAAAATAATTATTGTGAAGTTACTTGAAACATTAGTTCATTTGCTGTTTAAAAAGGAGAATTTAATCCTTACTCTAGGAAAGGTTATTACAATATTGTATAGTCAAATTTTTAATATTTAAACACACACACACAAAATTTTCATACCAAAAAACAATTAATCCAAAACAAAATGAATACATTTTTTTCTCTTATCAACAACAACTATCAAAAGTCATCCTCCGATGATGTTGAGACGCATCCAAAATCCACGTTTCGTCGTCTTCCAGATTTCTCATACTCACCGCCTGTAACCTCAAAACGACGGTTTTCACAACAACGAGAACGACTATGGTCAATATCATCATCATCATCATCGCCACAACACAACGATGCAACAGATTCTTGTTCTATTAAATCATCTTCCACTTCCTCATCAGCTACATCATTATCATCGTTCGATGATAGCTCAATATCAGAAAATAAATATGTTAGCTTTCCATCATTTGAAAATTTCGCAAGCGATTGCTGTTGGTATGACAATGAACAACGATTATTATTAAAACGAGAAATTGCTGTTAGCGAATTAGAAATGGAGAGATACGATGAGATGTTTGTGGGAAATGTTAGAACATAAGATACATTTTACTTTACTATTAAGTTTTAGTATTCTTGTAATTTTAAATTGTATCATTAGAAAACTTGATCCTTTTTATTTTATAACCTCATCATACATACATTCATTCATTATTATTTCTAATCCTTGTAAATATAATCAAATTTATATAAGTAGAATCTTATGCATACACTTAAAATATACTTTATTTGTTAATACATTCTTCTTTGTTTGCTACTATCACTTGGCCATTCGACCGAGTTTGCTCTTAAACGTTCGGCGGTAACCAAACGGCCAAATTTTATTGCTGCGGTCAAATGCCAACACTATAGTTTTCATATATGGGATCGTTTTACTTGTGTTACCTTCAGTTATTAGCGTTGGAAGATTAAAAGTAAAATAAAATTATTCAACATTTTAACTCATTAAACTGATTAGACGTGTCACCATCATTATTATGTTGTCTACTATATATCAACCAAATCTGATTATAGAATAGGTTTTTTTCGCCTTCAAAAGTTATGATAAATCTACATTAACTTTAATTTCACGTAATCTATTCTTGAGAAATACATGTACTGTGAATGTAATTGTGCATGTTACAATACGACTATTGTGATAATAGTTGCGATGACTAGAAACATGTAATTTGGTAGCATAAAATAATTCTTAAGTTATACATGTATGATAAAGTAGAAGCATTTGAAGAAAGAAAATCGCACCCATAGCCATAAGGACAAAAAGGCCGAATCTGATACAGCCATTTACATCTGTACATAAAAATTTAAAAACATCAAGAACCAAACAAGGATAAAGGCTTGCTTAGATCTTTTAGTTAAGGTGGCAATTTATCAGGTGTTAACACATGCAATTGATCTTCATTCTTCATTCGGACAGGAACACGAAGATAACCTTTTCAAGGAAAAATTTGGATTTTGGCCAGCATTAGGAAATTAAATTGTAATTCAGGCCATATCACATGACTAGTAACGACTACATGTATTATGAATCTAAATTTTTCCGGGTCCCTGATTCGGGTCTAAATAAAAGTATAACGATAAATCAAATTGAAATTCAAGATTCAAACAAATCATTAAAATGGATGTGATATCAATAATCAGAAGATTCATCAGAATTAAAGAATCGAACGATATGCCGTCACTCGTTTACCGCCACTGGGTATTGAATCCCAAAGAGGCAATAAATTGAGTTACTCTTGGAAATTTTATATCATATGACAAAACATGGTGTGAATAGCAGTTCCCTTTTATGATTCACTTAAAAATCCATTATAAAAGTCTTGTGCAAGTAAAAATTTGATTAAATTATAAAGTTGCATAATTTATAATTTAAAATCGTATGTTGTTTAATTAAATCAGCTGCTTAAAGATCCGGGTCATTTTACAATTTCTGCACCGATTCATAATTTAGGTTATTTCGTCATATGGATAATTGGTTTGGTTAAGAAATTTGCGGGATGCATCGCATTACGATTGGCCCAACATCTTAAAATACAATAAATTAAAAGAAGAACATGAAAAAGAACTGGAAAAATTAAAAAATCAAAAAAATACGACTCAAATTAATTTAGAAGAGAAGCAAAAAAATTGATCTACTCCGAAAAACTAGCGAAGCATTAGTTCAAGAAAACAAAGACCGACATATCCAATATCCTGATCCTAAAATTCTGAAATACTAAAATCTCGACTTTCCAACATCAAAATCTCCGATATATTCAAATCCAAACAAAATTATATAATAAAATATTGCCACTAACGTATACGATTTTGATAAACGGTTCGTAAAAATTTTAATATCTCCAGATTCTGATTTTAGTATTTCGAGATTTTGGGTAATGTCGGGGTTTCGAATTTTTTCATTCTGTAGACACTATTGATCGCGTGTTCTTATTAATTATCATTTATCTTATCATTTGGAAATATTTCATATATGACACAATCTGATGTAACTAATTGGATCCAGACCAAAAATAGTTTGTATTTTTATAAAAACTGTTTCTGACAGTATAAATATAGAGAGGTATAGTACATGTATTGTGATTATGAAAATTGTATAGGCATCAAAAGTAACACCCGATTTGCGTGTGTAAATATATGCATCGCGTTTTTCCACTTTTTGTTATTGTTAATCCTAATTATTTTCTTAGACATACACTAGATGAATTTTTTTAGATGTAAATATGATATCTATTGTACCAGTTGGCTATCTTTGACAAGGATAAAATAGTGATTTTTATTGAATTGTGAGTGTCAAGCAGCTGCAAGAAAAATGTGCCATAACCTGGTAATAATAGTATGATGGTCTCATGCCAAGCACAAACGAGAGGGGAAAACGAAAATTTACCACTATCTGAAAGACCGTAAACTCATGTACACAAAAGACATCCTGAACCATTTCATGACATTGGCAATAAAAAATCTGTGCAAAGCTCACCTGAAGATTATTTGGTCCCTTTTCATAATATAATTTGTTCATTAATTTGAGAGAACATGATGTTTCAAAAAAATAACACTTGATTTACAATTGAAAAGAAGTCATCAAATAGAGAAAATCAACGAATATTGTATCCTTCTGATCCAAACTTCATAGAGATGTCTGCAAGTTATTAGAGAACAATATTCAAAGTGCAAAAGCTTCCCAAGGATCATGAAAAAGCTCAAGACTACTCTGAAGGAAATCCGATGTGTTGGTTTTTGAGGAGGTTGTAGGCTCAATGCCTTGAGAAATCAAAGCGATATTATAACCATATGAAGAGCTAATAATGCATTAGCTAGTGGTAAAAAATATTTTCATATATATAAGCTAGAAATAAAATAAATTGGAGATTTCATTTTTTAAAAAATCGGGCGTTACTCTTGGTGCCTAATGTACTTTATATGATGGCGTCATATATCAACCCATTATTACTAACATAATAGGTTTGAGAGTTGATATGTTATTTGAAATCCGTCCTGTGACCAATGTTGTTACTGCAAGTGTTGATTGTGACAGACTTATTTAATAATGAGAATTATTATTTCAATAAAATTAGCTATTTTTTGTATAGATGTATTTTAATAATTCTATTTAATAGTCTATACGTAGATATGAATCGACTATACAAATAATTCATAATAAAGTCGGGATCTCAGGATTTAGAGGTATCTTATCAAGTTAATTACATGTATTCATAAGTATATAAGCAATTTAATGCTTGTATGAATTTAAGTTTTGAATTATTTTTCTTTAATTAATTTGTCATTTTGGCGTGTAAATTGCTATTGCATTTTTTAAATATAAATGTTCAAAACGCGAAAAATATCATATCCCTCAAATTTAAAGGATAATTGATCATTTTAAATTATACCGTATTAGTTAATCTGATCAGCATATTTTTAAAATATACATCATGAAGAAAAAAAGGATCGACTGTTGATGATGTCAAATTTAATAAATGCAGTTTTATCGGTATCGTTATGACCTCCATTACGCACGCGTCTTTTTTATGTTCTTAAAATGCATGTTTTTCTCTTAAATTGTATTCGAGATAAATGATTTTGACAAGATTTTTATCATTTAATTTTTTTATAAATATAACGAGAATTCGGAGAAATAAATTCAAGCTCAAAAACTTGTAATTAATATTACTAATATCATTGCAATCAAGCTATTATCTCCAAAAGTTACTCATATTATTCCTTGGACACTTATAAATTTTTCTATTCTTTTGTAATATATTTTTTTCTCATTTGAAAATGAACAACTTATTTTCGAATATGCCAATTTTCATGCGCCGTCGTAATTCATTGACTGAAGATTCAAAAGACCATCCTTTATTACAGCAAGACACCCTCACATCAGATCCCAACAAAAAAGGGCTATTGCAACGTATTCCCAGTTTTTCTTATTCTCCGACAATTAAGCGTCACAACTCAATACGTTCTATGAAAAAGACACTTCATCGAAAATCAAGTAAATCGATTTTTAATTCTACCACAACCTTCACTATTAGCTCCGATGGAGAATCATCGAGAAATTCGGCAATTTCAACTCCTGATACATCAAATTCTTGCAGATCAGAAGGTTATATCAGTTTTCCTAATTATGAATATTTTGACGGGAATTTATTCCTTGACGATGAACAAACCTATTTGTTGAAAAAAAATTTTGGGGGAGTTGATATGGAACGGTACGATGAAATGTTTGTTGGAGACGCGAAGATAGAATACTAAATTTTCTACATCGAATAAAATTTTTTTCCTTTTTCGTGAATCTATTTATTGCTAGAGAAAAAAGTACCATTTTTCTTTTATCTAATCGCTTTCAATAGTGAGAGTACTTGATAGAATCATTCCTTTTTTTTTGAAATCAATAGTAATAATCTTTAATACTCCTTTCACAAGCTCATTTTTATTTGCTCTTTAGCATTAATCAAAATACATATAAAAATATTATGAGATTTTGCATTCAAAAGACAACGCGCATAATATGTACAATTGATGAAGTTAAGATATATAGAAGTTCGTTGTTTCCCAATACTTGATTAAAAAAATTTAAAATTTATACTCACAGTTTACAATATTTACACAATATCTGTTTTCTTATCTCAACAGCAAACAAGAATATCGTGACCACGCAGTCTGCACCTGAAAATCGAAGCGTAAATGATCCGCAGTATTTGATTCAATAAAGCAAATTCATTAATCGACAAACAGCCGACGAAAATATTTGTCGTCTTGAATCGAAGCGGTTAATACAGTTAATTCTGCACAAACATTTAATAAAACAAAATTAATTGTCATTACTGGTGCCGACTTATGGTGATGCCGTAATGTTGTTTCACGTCTCCTAAGACATAACTCATGAAGTGACGACACGTCAAAGTCACAACTGACATTCGTCGTAATATTAGACGTATGCCATAACATTTGACGTATGTCGTAACATAGATACATAACATAATGTACGTAAATTCTCGAAAAAAAAGAATGAATTTTAAAGAACAAAATGATTTATTTATTAATCATCTAATTCAACATTTAAAATGATGTCAACAAGGTTCTCGGGATTAAAGCACTACTTTCAACACTAGTATCCGAAGTATTAATCAAAACTTTGTATGTATGAGGATATGATCTAAATTAAAATTTGATCATCATTATTTTTTGAAACACTTGGCCTCGTCGTCGTGTTCTGACTTACCTTTAATAACATATTTCCATCTTTTTTCTGTGACCATCATAATTTGCTTGTTTAATTTGGTTCGTTCTACTTAACTTTTAGACTTTTTAATTAATCGTTCTTGAAACCAAAGCTACGGCCGTCACGATCTTTTTAATTGATCATTCTCAAAATCAAACCAAGTTATATTCAAATACCTGGTTACGGCATACGTCGTTATTACACTTTTAACGTGACATATCATTTTGACGTAACCATGCGGTATCACAAATCTGCACCAATAGTTGTAATAAAATATTTTGTTTGCTAGTTTCCCGTAAAGACCAAAATTACATTTATAACAAGATCAAGAATTCTCGATTTTTTAAAAAACCACTATTGATCCAGTAATCATGGAAAGAATTGTTATTTAAGAAAAATATTATTTTCTAAAAAAGGGACTGTAAAACAAAATAGATTGGAATTTTAGTCAGTTGACAAAATAAGAATCAATTTTAGCTATAAAATTTTTCTCACAAAAAGAGTTTCCATTAATAACAAACCAAAATCACCATCATTTTAACCGTACTTTGACCATATTTTAATAATTTTAATTGTTAATTTAATTGTGAGATTAAATACAAGAATTTATTATAATCACATATTTATCTAATAACGTTATCAAAACTATATCAATAAACATGGATATGCTCACCTACAACACTAGTTCGAATAATAATTAGCTAGTTGCAAGCCATTATAAAATTGTTGCTAATTTTTTAAATAATAATTAAGTTGCGTATTTCTCTTCCAATACATGCGAGGAATTCAATCTACATGTATTGGTGAATGTGTCTGAAATCTGAAGAAGTTACTGGGTAAAATTAAATATCCGACTCTGAGTAACGGAAACAAAAAGACTATCAGAGCAACAACCTAACGTTCCACCATAGGCGAGGGACTCAAAAGACCAATTCATCTCCCACTAATCCTCGATCGTTTCTTTCTCACATAAATAGCACGTAATAGTGATGTTATGAGGTGCCAAATGAATGAAAGTTATACGCAACGTGACATCACTTGAGTTCTTAAAAAAATCTTTTTTAATCCTGGTACATTTTGCAGGAAAATGACGAACAAAATCGTCACCAAAAAACCCGCCATTCTGTTGGTGATTTTATTGTACGCACGTTCTTTACTGATGTACGTTTTCCATTCGAGACCCCGAGCCGTGGAAAATTATCAGAACGTTTTAAAATAACTTTGATATTGTAAAACGACATATAGTATGACATTTTTTCCGTACTATCCCGATTGTTGAAGGTATCATGTTTTTAATTTTCTTTTGCCTTATATGGGAGCTAAGAGCACCATATTACATGTATGATGAAAATCTCATTATAGAAAATTAATTTTACGACTCCAATGACATGCCAATTTAATATGGGCATTTGGAATCGAAAAAAAGATCGATTGCACGAAAAGTGCAAATGAAAAATCAAATTTAACATCAACTTAATTTTTTTTGGCAATATCGATATTGCTTCATTTAAGATTAACGTATGGGTGACATTGTTTTGCATTACGCATAATTCAAGTCATGATTGTAATATGCTAGTCACGTTCAATTTACAATTTTGAGATTTCCTTCCCGAAAGTTGAATCAATTATTAGCCTAACTTAATGTGTGATTTAAGCTGATATTTTTATAAAAAATTCTCTTGGTTTCACTCGGCTTGCGCACATTTAAATCATTCGACTAATATGATCACACCATCAGTTATTAAAATAACTATAGTATGAAAATACTTAAATTACAAAGAATGGTCAAAAAAGAGAAAAGACTCGGGTTTTTTACTAAACTTTTATGGTAAAATGCCAGATTATTACCAATTTATGTCAATAATATCATATTTATCTCATACTAAAAAATTATTAGTGCATAAGCATGCTTTTTTCATAAATTTATCCTAAAGATAGACTCATATAAACGATAAAAATATATGAAAAAAAACGATCAACCATAATATTGTTCCCATTTAAAAATGCCGAGTATATTTTTAAATGTGCCAATGAATTCTGATAAAAAAAGTATATATAGCCACTCAGGCAAAGGTTCATTGTCTTTCGTTTGATATTATTAAATTTTACTTTCTGAAAAAATACCAAATTTATAAAGCAAAGAATATTAATAAAATGACGACTCAAAAAATCATTCTTGGTTTATCGTTAATGCTCTGCTTTATTCTAATAGCAAGTGCTCAAATTCAAGACCCAACTATTATTACTTCATGGACAAAACCTACAACTACTACTAGTAATACTACATCAACTACAACTACTGTTAGTAATACTACAGTACCAACCTCCAGCTGGCCTTCAAATTCAACTGCTACTACCGCAGCTTCAAACGTAACAACAACTTATACACCTTCCACAACACTTCCTGAAACTTCAGCTCCATCTGATACAACTGTAACAACGACCACTGTTTCTGATGATACACCAACCGCTTCTCCATCTTCTACCAATTCTCCGACTGGTCTTTCAGATGACTCATCTGATTCTTATTCCTACAAATTTGTTGGTACTTCAAATGCTCTTAGTGTCGGCGCGTTTCTCATGTTGATTGTTGGTCTATTCTTTTAATTAATGGAAGAATAAAGAACATTCGATAAAGTTATTTTTTTCTTTTAAATTTCTTTTAGCTTTTTTTAGCATTTTCTAATATAATACTATTTAATATCATCAAGTTCACTTTATATTAATCTTCATTTTATTATTAGATTTTCATTTTATCATAGAACAATGTGCGCTTTGATACTAAATGATAATATTTGCATTCTTTCAATTGACGATTAGTTCTTTATATGCAATTATCATCATTATGAAATAAATGTGAATTTAATCGTTTACTCATATTGTGATGATATAGTTTCACCTAGGATCTACTTTAGACATTTTTAGCAAAGCCAGTAACTAAACTAAAATGCTCTTATCTAGTAACTATCATTTATCTCTTTATAAAGAAAATAAATGTCGAAAAATAAATTTTTCTAAATCGAATTTAAATTTTAAAATAGAAAAATTATATGTTTGGTCTTTTTTTACCGAATTATTATTATCAGATTGATTCCAAAATTTTTGAGTTTAGAAAATAACTATTTTTTGAATTAATACTGACATTTTAATAAAAAAATCTCTGTTAATTATATGTAATAAAGTTGTTGAGATTTTATTGTTTATAAAATATTAAACGTATAATAGACAAATTTTAATTTATTAGTTTTGTTTTAAAAGGAAATATTTAATCTGTATTGAAAAAACGTGCTTTTTATTCATAATTAAAGTTCAAGATACTTTAATTAAATCCATTACAATATAATTTAACTATAATAAAATAGATTTAAATAATCTGTATAATTATCATTATTAATTATTAATATTTTAATTAGTATTGATTAAATTTATCGAGTAAACTTTGATTAAATATTGTTAGATATAAAAGATCATGATATGTTATATGATTTTAAATTGCAGATTCTTTTGTAAATATTATTTTTATTAAATAACTAAGAAAAAACAATTTCGACTTTTTAATTAATTATATAGAAAAGTGATTACATAAAAGGAATAGAAGAATATGTTTATAAATAAATGTGACTATGTATAGCAATGGTGATAATTTAAAACAGATTGTTTAAATAATATAAAATTTACTATCTTGAATTTCGCGTTTATAAATTTCTAAAAATAAAATTATTAAATAGATTTTAAAAATATATTACTTTAAAGTTTTAATATAAGGTCAATATTGATGTAATTTAATTTATTTTTATCAATATAAAAATTCTGGGATAATTTTATATCGATATGTAAATATGTAAGATTAAATCGGTCCGAAATACAAACCAATAAGGATGCGCAAATTTTGATCAACGCGGTAAAGCAAATCCGAATCGTAAATAACAAAAATGAGAAATATGAAATAAATTCCTCTTTATAGTAAATGTTCTAATTGAAAATGCCAAGACGCGATTTTGTACATAATCTGAAACGCATGTAACATGGGATACTATATAAATCACCTTTTACTTTCTAAATGCACAGGTCACATATTTTTTTGGTCAATATTAATTGATTCTTGCTTGCAATATTTACATCAGTTATGAGAAATCAATCTCTTTACGAACAATTATTACTTGGCTCGCTCGGGCAAATCTTTTCAATTGGTAATTTTTTTCAACCTAAATGTAAATTTAGCTTCGTAACTTTGTTCTTTAGACTTAATCTGTACAAAATTTGGTTTCAAAATAATTGGTTTCAAAGGCTGAACATTTTCAAACTTTGTAGATTTGAGGATTTTTTCTATGTGAATAATTACATAATTTGTTATTATTTTAAATACATGAACAATACATATAATAAATTCTCGAGTGCATCTATGTACCCACTACCCGATTTGGAATCCGACACAAGAAATAAAAAGTGAATATTTCGAGAAAATCAGTGTTTAAAACTGTCTTTGAATAATTAAAAATGGCAGGAAGACAAATTTACTGTACATATACATGTCCCCTTAACCGTGATAAATGCTATCGCTATGTTTTAATTAATACATTCCCAATGAAGCATTGATAATCACATATTTCCTAATTGGTTGCATTCATATATAGTTTTGAGTTACTGTTACATAGCATACCAGTGTTGTCATTTGATTGGATGAGAATACGTGTCCAGCCAATCATATTGCCCGCGCACACAATGTCACGTGGATACACAGCTCTAACGGTCCCCCTTTATTTGGACAGTACTAACCAAATTATTAACAATGATAAACATGGTTTTAAAAACAAATAAGGATATTTTCATTCTCATACATTCCAATTAAATACCTATCCCAAGAAGGTATTATCTTCATTGTTCTAAATGTATGGATAAAAATATGTTCTACCTAGAACATATGTGAGAAAAAATGCAGTAATGGCTATATAATGACAAGACGTTCCTCGAATTTCCCAAGTCCTTTTTCTAGATTTTCATATAAAAATTTAAACCTAATTTTAAACATTATTAACCAAATTATAAAAAATGAACGGAAAACAAATTAAATTCTTTGTCTTCCTCTTAATTGTAATTATCGCTTTGTCCCAGGTGTTAGCTGACAGCTCATCTGCTACTCCTTCTAGCACCACTTCTCCTTCTGACACTTCTTCTCCTTCTGGCACTTCTTCTCCTTCTGGCACTTCTTCTCCTTCTGGCACCTCTCCTTCTGACACTTCTTCTCCTTCTGGCACTTCTTCTTCTGGCACTTCTCCTTCTGACACTTCTTCTCCTTCTGGCACTTCTTCTCCCTCTGGTACTTCCTTGATGTCTGGCGCTTCTTCGACGGCTGCAACAAATCCTTCTGCATCTTCCACCTCTTCATCCTCCTCTTCATCCATTTCCTCTTCAGCAAGCCCAAGTCCAAATGCTGGTATTTCTTTGGTCCACAATAATATTGACATCATGGCAGCTTCTGGCTTTGGTGCTCTCATTCTCAATCTCGTTGGCTTATTCTTCTAATTGAATAACAAAACAAATTACTTTTATCCGAGTGGTTAATAATTTAGTTAAACTTGTATTTCTAGTATTCATTGTTAAAAAAATACATTAAGTAATACAATATTGTTAACATAATTAGAATTGAACACGTGAAGTCTATTGTTTTTAAATTAAACAAGTGAATCATTAATAATTAATGATGCATTACACGAATATTTTAAAAATAGTTTAAAAAAATTTTCTTGACAAAAACTCTGTAATAATTCATAGTCAAGTTGCCGAGAAGTTTGCATACTGTATTTTGATTTAACAAACTATCTAATATTATACAAATCCAAATACATGTATTTATCGGGGACTCGAAGCAAATTTAGTATCTTTATTTTCGTGGAGTATAATTTAACAAATTGATGTGCCTTTTTTCAATACCCAAAAATTACAACAGCAACAATCAAAAGTTACAGTTCTTGGCAGAAAGTAATGACGGTGCAGAGCGATCAATATCGATTAATCAGGAAAACAAGGTACTCATTATTTTATTCGATTGCCAAAATATTTACTAAATCGTATTTGTTTTATTCCTTGGCATTTTTGTTGGAATCTGGCGTAACACAAAAATCAAAACAAACGTGATACATGTTTCTCGATAGTTTTACATATGAAACTACCTTAAAACCTGAACCCTGAAAATAACGACGTGCATCATTCATATCTTGCGATTTGAGTGGTCATCTCGAGACATCGGTCATGCATGGTAACGAAACACATTTAAAATTCACGTGTGGAGTGCATTGAAAGTAGGCATGCATACCTTTACGCAAAATACGGATCGCCATCTTTATCATCAAATCCTCAATATTCACTAATATGAAAATGCAACTAACATGTTTTGGAATTGGCGGTGGTTCTTTCAGCACGATAATGATCAAATACACCTCGGGCGACGTTCTTAACATTGACTTCCAAACCGTGTTTTACCATGGCCATCATATAGAGAATGTTTGGTCAGTTCTTAAAAGAAAAAAACAGAGCGTGTCACAAGATGCTCTCATTGCGTTAGTAAAAGAAGTGAGAATCTTCAAGAATGCGGTGCTACTTAAAGTATGCATTCAAGAATGCATTGCTATAGAAGAAGAAATCATACAAATATTATGATTATATTTATTTCCCCGAAATAAGCTATTATTTTTTTGCAAAAAATTTCGGCTGTTTCAGGATTAAATGTACATGTATTAAACTTTACATTGCAAGTACTTTTTGACTCAAAAACAGGAGGCAGCTTATTTCGGAAGTACCGTAAATAAGCAACCCTTCCTCTTCAGATCGAAAAGTCTCAAAAGTTATATATTAAGAGAATTTCTACTCAGACGCATATTTTTGTTTTGTTTCTCACGCATATAGTCATCGAGTCACCCTTTAGACGACTATTACACGGTATTTTTTTAAGGAATTTCTACCCGAATTAGCAAACTTTTAATTTTTCAGCCCGAAATGATGACATATGGTGCTTATTTTGGTAACTTATTTTCGGAGATTTACAATATAAATATATTAAAATTTTTTTATTTTTAATAAAAACCAACTGCTGACAGAACTGTATAGAATTTCAACAAATTTTATGAATAATGAGATTAACCCACTTATGATTAAATAAATAATGCACACGTCATACTAAGCTGTTTATAACAAACCAGTGGTTCTATCAAATAAAAAGTTCATGAATTTAAAGTTCATTATATCCAGTACATGATATTTAATTAAATAAATAATCAATCAATTCCAATCATAGCCAAAAATAATCAATTTTTCCCTCTTTCTTGTAATTCTAACTATACTCTGTTTTTTATAATTATGTCCTGAGATTCATTACAACCATTTGCCTAAGATACAAATAATATTAATATTATAACATATACGCTCCTAAAAGAATTTATTATTATAGTTCTATAAAATTTAACAACTCTTTTGCTAGCTATTTACTTCATTTGAAGAGATGATCTCTAATTTTTTGAACTTTTTTCGGAAGAAAGGAAAATTTATGCTTTATTTTGCTTTTCTAACTTGATTGGTAGCCTGTGCTGTTGTTAATGAGATTGATTTGATTCGATGAATTTAGCATTTTCATTAGATCCAGCTAGGACATTTTTAACATCTAAGTTAAACTGTTCACGTAAGAAGCATATCAAGTAGCACACAAATAGAAATTTATAAAAATGTTAGGAGAAATGAACACGCTAGTCTACTCCTATTTCCCTTATAAATTCTTAACCCAAGCAAAGAGTTAAAATCATCTTGGTCGGTTCTTTATTCCATTCCATATTTCAGACTTTGTGGGATCAGGGATAATTTGATAAATACCTGCAGGAAGCGTAATGTTTAGATTAGTCGCGCG